TGCACGACTTCTACATGATGGTTTCAGCTATCTGACATATGTGGGTTCTTTTAGAGACTGAAGCCCATTATTTTTGTGATTGTTATAGGTAAGATATTATTGTAAATGTTGTACTTTGTAGTTTCTGGAAGGAAAATGAGGTTATTAATGATATATGAAACGTTTAAATAAATTTGTAGATGATCATATTGTTATCTTTAAATGATGACGTTTATAAGTTCTGTAATGATTATTATTCAACGAGATTGTAAACTAGGCTACATAGATATCAAATTATGTGTGGTAGTGAATTGCTAATGTGATGAAAGGATTCGGCTTTATGCCTTTTAACAGACTTTTTCTTCACATTACTTTCTTTGTATTCTAGTATACTCGTAATTTAGCTAAAATTAGAGTTTATAAATTTACAGAACATAAATAAACCTGTATTACTATTTGTTTTTTATTTATACGGATTTTTTTGTTCTGCCATAATCTCTTAGAAATTTTAATTTTCCCTTTCGATTCACCTTTTCAATTTTTTTATTCACCAAGAAGCTATTTCTCCTTTATATATATAAAAAATGACTACCCCAATATTTTCTTGGTTATTTAATAATTAATTTCTAAAAAAAGAAAAAGAAAAGCCTTGAAAAGGTAATAATGAAGGGGATTCAGCAAATCTTAAAAACCACCATCATCAATGTCAGTTGTAATGTTCGATCTTCGTCCCGCAGCAGTATTTCCACCTCCAGAGCCCGCCTTCCCGCGCCCATGCCCCCTTCCCGACGCGGCTGCCGACCCTCCCCATTTTTCATCAGGATCTCTCGTATGAGTCATTTCGTGTTGGTTGTTCCCTCCTCCTCCACCACGGCGCCGATTCGTTCCGAATTCACGACTTAGCATCGCGTCACCTTCAACCAACTCTGCTTCTTCCTTAAACCAGGTGGGGATATCCTGATCATGTTCCCGCAGATATTTGTACATCTCCAAGCATATCCGGCGATTATTGCGATTGTAGAAACACGTTGCAGTACCCTTATTTCCTGCGCGTCCTGTACGACCAATACGGTGCACATAATCGTCCATCTCGCTCGGTAGATCGTACTGGATCACATGCGCGACATTGGGAATATCTAACCCGCGTGAGGCCACATCCGTTGCCACGAGAATAGGTCGTTCGCCAGACTTAAACTCTGCAAGTGCACGTTCGCGATCCTGTTGGCGACGATCACCGTGAATGGTAGAGCTTGGGATGTCTTCCTTTTTTAGCTCACGATGGAGATCATCAGCGGCCTTTTTCGTTTCCACAAAAATCAGCACCAAGTCTGATTTCTTGTGGGCATAAATGAGATCGAACAGCCTATCCATTTTCTCTGTTTCCTGAACTTTTTCGATAACTTGTGTGATATTCTTTGTAGTGGAACCAACGCGGCCAATCGTGAGGAGGTAGTAATGCTTCCGAAGGTAGCGACGTGCGAGGTTGAGGATGCGGCTCGGGAATGTGGCACTGAACATGAGGGTCTGGCGCTCGTCAACCATGGGCATATCCGTGTACCGGGATGCAACCAGATATTCAATTTGCTCTTCAAAGCCCATCTCCAGCATACGATCAGCTTCATCAAGAACGAGGAACTTAATGGCCTGGAATGAAAGTGAACTTCTGTCGAAGATATCCTTTAACCTCCCCGGACACGCAACAAGGATATCGTTCTCGAATCGTGTAGGGTAAGGGGTCCCTCCGTAGACGACATCATGGAAAATGTCCGTCCGAAAGGTTAATTTGCGAACCTCGTCATAGATCTGCAAGGCGAGTTCACGAGTAGGTGCCATGATGAGACCGATTGGGTAGCAGACACCTTGCCTCGCAGGGGAAACTCCCTTAACAAGGATATGCTGCACCATCGGGATCAAAAAGGCAGCAGTCTTGCCAGAACCAGTCTGCGCGCACGCCATAAGATCGTTCCCCGCGATTGCCACTGGAATCCCATAGCGCTGCACAGGAGTGGGCTTTTTATATCCACAGCGCTCAATGTTCGCCATCAACGCCGGCTCCACCTTCAGGTCGGAGAAGTCCTCCACCGCCATTATGTCCCGTGGGACGATCGTGACAGGTATATTATCATAGTTCTCCAACGAGATCCCTTTTTGTCGGTGGTGGTGCTCAAACAGCTCGAGGATCTCGCCCTCATCGAAGCAATTCCGGCGAAGATGAGGAGCGCGCTGGGTGCGCCGTTTAAACCCAGGGGGCAAAACCTTCAGCATGCTGCTTGTCTCCCTTTCCGGTGTCTCTGAAGGGTTCTCGACGGCGCCCCGCGCGCCCACCTCCTCGGTCATTACCGCCTCCCCATGAGATTCCAGAGCCATCGCCTTCTCCCGCGAGTCCTGGCGCCAATTGTTATTTCCGTTCGAACCCCCACCCCCGCCACGTGGGCGCGAATCTCTGACCTCATCGTGGTTGTCCGCATGACGGCCATAGCGATTTTGCGGATAGCCCTGCTCCCCGCGGTAGGCTCCCCCGCGGCGCTCCCGTCGGCCTCGCCCCCTGAACTCCTCCCGTTCCTCCCGTTGCAGCGGTCGTTGCCGTTCGGAAAGGCGGCAGCT